AGGATTTATATAATAAATGTTCAATGTCATTCTCAATTTTAAATAAAAATATATAGATTATTTGTAGAAAGTATTTGAGCAGTTGTGTAACAGTTTCAAAATATTAATGAGATTTAGAGAAAATCGATTTCGTATCAAGATAAATAATAATAATAATTAATAACAGCTTGCAAATTATGATAGAGTAGAAACTGAACCAAAAAAAAAATCATCTAATGAAACATCATTGAGTATAATTAGGCCATTGTGTTAATGAGCAACAAGAATAACGCATTGTTTCTTAAATCGAGAAGAGCGAATTTCATTTCATTCACTAAAAAAAAAATAATAAGAAAGAAAGGAGAGTAAATATTTCAATTAATAAGCGACATCAAATAATTCTACATATTTAAAGTATTGAGAAATTTATTTGTAGCAAAATAGAATTTTGAGAAATTAATTTTGTATCAGTAATATATAATATTTTTTCTTTAAATTTCAGAACATATGAAAATGTTGTTATGTTATGTTAAAGTAAATTAAGGTTAAATTTAAAATTGTAGAGAAATGGACTAAACTTGAGGTTATTTCCCACAATTTGTCGCTTCATGCATATCATTAATTAGCATGAATATTGAATGATTTGCAGTTGCGATATAATGACATCAATTGAGACAAAGTTGTAGGATTTCTCCTGGAATATGTATATAAGCACGTCTTGCGCTAATTAGCTCTTCCGGATCCTGCAAGACGAAAATTGAGTTATTACATTAATGACACGTAACAGGAATAACTGTTTATTCACTTAGTTCTTTTCTTTTAATTGTGACTAATTACCTAAGACGTCGTGGAAATTATATAACTCGATCGTTTCATGTAAACGGTTTATTATGTTACTTTAGCCTTTTATTGTTGTCAAAAACATATTTTATTCAACGTTGCAGAAAATTTCATAAATTACATCCAGATGCTCAAATTATTATCTGAATATTCAATGATTTTTGTATCTTTTGTGGTTTTCGGGAAAATTGCTTGAAACTAAAGACATGAAATATTTTTTTTTAATTTGATAGCGATATAAGCAATCAATTTATTTTCTTTGACTTTGATATGCCTTTTCAATCATATCTTTGTTGTTTGTGGTTGTAGAGAAAATCGCTAAAATCTAAAGACACTACTTTTGAATGCACTTAAGGAAATGATGTTTCAAATTTGAGAGCGAATTACAAAAAAAATATGATAGTTAGTTTATTATTTGATTACTTGATTTTGATAAGCATGTTTTATCACCTTTTTGAATTGTTAAATACTAAAGATACTGTAGATTTTCTCTAAATACACGAATGACAAAGAGATGATGAAAATGCATATTGAAATCAAGTATACATATAATAGATAGTTTTATTAATTTTAACAGCGAATTATAGGACATCTATAAGAGAAATTATTATATCCATATAAAAACAATATTCCCTGAATTTTTGATTTTAATATACATTTTGATTCATATTTTTGTCATTCATGGTTGACGAGAAAATAGCTAAAGTAGATTTTTTTGAACTCAGTAATTTAATAGCGAATTACAAGCAATCCATGAAAGTCACAATTATGTCAATATACTCAGTTTATTCTCTGAATACTTGACTTTAATATGCATTTTTCATGCATATTCATCTTATTCTTGTCGTTCTCGGTTTTCGAGCAAATCGCCTAAAAAAGACACTGCTTTTTCGAGCAATTTTTCAAATTTGATAGAAACATCTCTATGTTTGTTCATGGTTTATCGACGTTGCTGAAAACTAAAAACACTGCTCATTCAAAGATTATGTGCATTTGCTTTGCTTATTCTCTGAACACTTGACTTTGATATGCATTTTCAATAATCTCTTTGTTGTTCGTGATTGTCGAGAAAATCGCTAAAAACTAAAGACACTTTTTACGATCAATGTTTTAAAAAATTACAAGAAATCCAATAAAGACACACGTATGTCCATATACTCAATTTATACCCTGAATTCTTGACTTTAATATGCATTTATAATCTTATTCTTGTCGTTCGCGGTTTTCAAATTTGATAAAATCATCTCAATGTTTGTTCATGGTTTATCGACGTTGCTGAAAACTAAAAACACTGCTCATTCAAAGATTATGTGCATTTACTTTGCTTATTCTCTGAACACTTGACATTGATATGCATTTTAAAACATCTCTTTGTTGTTCGTGGTTGTCGAGAAAATCGCTAAAAACTAAAGACACTTCTTTACAATCAATCTTTTAAAAAATTACAAGAAATTCAATAAAGACACAATTATTCTCTGAATACTTGGCTTTAATATGTAGCATTTGTAGAGAAATTTGCTAAAGGTTCAAGACACTTCTTTTTTCAGCGCTGAAAGAAACATAATTTAAAATGATTGCGAATTACAAGAGTTACAATTACATATAATCAATTAAATTCTATGAATACTTGACTTTTATTTGTAATTTTAATCATACTTTTGTTATTTGTTGTTCATTAAGAACTGAAGACAATGCATTTTTTAAAATCTACATTCAATTTCAGCAAATACATATATTCATTTTATTCGTTGAATTAATTGTAACAAATAGCCAAGACGCTTTGGAAATAATATAACTAGATCAATTCACGTAAACGGTTCGGAAAAGATGGAGAAATGATGCATGCAAATTGGAATGGCCTGTGGATGGAAGTTTGCAGAATTATTTTTTGTTGTTGTTGTTGCAAGAATCACTTAGATGTATGTATTAGGAGCATGCGAAACTTTCCATCGGGAATTGAAGTGAAGAATTTTCGCAAAGAGCCGAAGAAATTTGTATGGAACCTCCGAACGGACCGACGGTTCAGACGAGACGAAACGAAACAAGAGGTAAAAGTATTTTCGAGGTGTGATTCGTGAAATTTAATATATGTGTGTAATACGTCTACGAGGATATGGGAAGGTCCGGTAAGATTATAAAAGTGAAAATGATGTAAAAAGTTGATCCAGTTAAGAAGTTTTCACTGATCGCCGATAGAAGTATGCCAACCTTTCTACATATACTCTTATACTCAGATACAAAACGAGCTCTACTATTACTACTACTGCTACTACTATATACACACACCGTTACAACAGTAATATTATGTTTAGTCGATATTAATAATTATCGCGAAAACGTATTCTCTTTAATAAAGCAATAAGAAATAACAACATTGAAACTAAAAATAGAACGATCATTTTAATAATTGCAAATAGTTGTAAATACTAGAAGAAAATCAAATCAATATAGAAATTGCCGAAGGCGATGCGCATTTTTCACCGCGACTACAATTAATTATAAATAATCGAAACATAATTTTGTTTTACTTTCTCACTCTATATATAGGGATACGTAGAAAGTATCATCTGTTATAAAACACACTTAATTGATTCCACTTGCATTTGATGGATTTTTGTGTCTATTTGTGCGAAAAGCAGCTGATTCACAAATTAGAGTAACTGAATGCAAAAAAATATTTTTGGTTTTCACTTTCTTCATTGTTTTCACCTCCGCATTAATTAATCTGGGCGGATCGGATTCCACCTGTGGGCGCACTTTCGGAAATTCTCTGATGCAAAGTTTCGATCCAGTTCGACGTAATCTTCAGTTTCTTCTGTTTTCATTTTGGAAATTATTGCCGATTATATAATTATATAATAAACAGTAAATGCCGTAATTTGTGTACTTACTACTAATTTACTTACTTACTAACTATGTAAATACATGAATTAACAAGATAAAATTTGACATTATGATTGACATCTCAATAAAGTATTAAAATTATTATCAGGTAATCTTTGCTATTGAGTTTTGTAACATATCTGTCAAAAACAGATATGTCACACATCTGTCATACATCATAAAATAAAATTATATTCAACTTGTCATTATTATTGTTATACTCACGTTAAGCTTTGACAGATGAGTGACGTATATTAATACGTCACTCATCTGTCAAACAATGTCAAATAAAAAATCAGATATATAAGGAGTTAATTATTATTATTATTATGGAATTTGAATGTGTTAATTTTACATTAAAATTTCTCTAATACTGATAGAAAGAAATTGAGTACTTATTTAAGTAAACTTGAAAGTCCGGATGTTGCGCAATTGTTTTCACAGGTATTTCCTTGATTGCTAATCCCTGCGTTTCCTCGTTACCTAATTCAACGATACATACCGGTCTTGTTTCTCTCGAGATCGTTGCTATTGCATCAAGCAATTGTTTGTTTGATTTCATCTAAACTAATTGGAGTGAGGAGCATTTGCATTTTTGTAATGTAATTTAATTATATAGATCGCATGTTGAAATATAATTTTAAAATTTTTGTGGTTATACAAATGATTCACATTACAAAATATGTGTATATGTTTTTCTGTAAGTCAATTGATTGAAGCATTTCAATTAGAATTTTAATTATATTTGAAATTTCGACGCGATCTGTAAGAGTTTTTATTTAAAGGATGTTTGGTTGCATATAGACAGTCTTTGATTTTAACTGTTGCTAAGGTAACGTTTAAGTTTTGAACATTACTTAAAATAAGAAACAAAGTATTTGAGAAAAAATATATTTGTATAAAAATAAGGAGTGTTTGTACATGTCTGCAATAGATCAGCTATATACTAAGTGCTAAAACGTTACTAATATAAAAGTAGAATTCTTTGTTAACTATAAAAAAAATATATAATAAAACTGTGTTCGCATCATGAATCTCACTAATAGTATAAATGAGCGTGAAACGATTCGTTTGTACACAAAACAAACGTCTAATTGATCTATTAAATGAGCAATTTCGATCATGGATGTATGTACATAGGTGTTTGGTTACGTTGCTTGGATTTATTATGATTATTGATGAACCGTTAAACCTAATTTATACTATTATGAAGGCTACATGCTTTGGATTAAACACAGCGATTGCAATTAAACTAGTTTCGTAAAAATGGCCATTGAAATATAAGATATACTTGGAATCTATGGGGCTCCGTACGCGTTGCTAGGTTTAGCTTTGTTTCCGAAACCGGAATCTGCGTAACTATCGTAACTGTTGCTATTGGAATAATCTTTGATCGATACCGAACTGGTAGCTCCAAAGTTAGAGTTGGCTCCGGCGTAATGGTTGTTAATAGCAACGGGGTTTACGGGAGGACCGTACTGGTTGTTTACACCGAAATTGTTGTTGTTGTTGTTATTATGGTTGTTTGTTCCGAAATTGTTATTATGGTTGTTGTTATGGTTATTGTTGCTGTTTCCGTATGTGTTGTAGACGCTGTTTTTGTTTCCGTTTCCGAAGCCGTTGTTGTATTGGTCTGGGTATTGGGCTTCACCCTCATAACGCACATCGGCGTGGAATCCGGTCTTCCAATCAGCGTAATAGGTGACTATTTGGGTTCTACCATCTGGTAAAGCTACCCTATAGGATCCTGTAACCTGGTTGCCATCGCTGTGCTCTTGACGGTTGTAATTGGTTCCGGTGTAATCGTCTTTGACCTGGTACCCGAATTCGTAGGCTTTGGGCTACAATTTAATGATCAGTGCTGATGCCTTCAGGTTTATTTAGATTATTTTCTCTTACCTCTCCGTACTCGTGATGATCGTGGATGGCGTTGTAATTGGGATTTCCGTAGCTGTTTATTGGCGCGTTTCCGTTTATGCCCTGTCCGTTGTTATGGTGATAACCTCCGTTATTGTTGTTGTTGTTGTTGTTATGGTTATTGTTGTTTCCAAAGGGAACTCCATATTGAGGAGACGGAGGTTCGCACATAACGACGGCCACTGACACAAGAACCATGCAAGACAGCTGAAAAAATAAAATACAATTCAAGTCAATCTACAAATTATCTATTAACATTAGTTCAAATGTAAATGTTTATAAATAATGTATTAAAAAGTAGGTTTTGTAAATATTTCTGACATATTATTAAAATGTACAGTTGTTATTATTTATTTTCATACAGTTTGTCAATAGTTAAGTTTGATTAACGATGGAAAATCGAGTAGAGATTAAAATATTTCTAAACTTTAACGTGATTACTTTGTCTCTTCGTGTGTAATTGGATTTCTGAATGTAAACACGTTTGTTGAATTATACAACGTGCTCCACCGTTATTCAGGTAAGTTACAAACAGTTACATAATATGAAAGTATTAGTAAAGTCTTCAGTATTTTTCACCTATTAAAGTATTAACAACAATTTGCTTAACTGTGTAAGTTTTCAACCGAAAAATATTAAATTGGAGCAAGAAACAAATTATACCGAAAAGAACATTATTTTACATTAAGATTTCTCTGTATGTTTTCATCAATTCAAGTATAATTCACAACACAAATTGTTTAAGTTTTTTAAGTTCTCAACGATAAATCAAATCTTATTTTTCTTCAGGAAGAATGAGATTATGTTAATAATGAATGCAAGGGAAAACATAATCAAAATTAATGGAATACGATTGCATAAATCGGTATAATTGACTTAATTTTACATCAACATCTCTTATTTTTGTTCACCCATCTTAAGATTATCCACAACACGCATTTCTTAACGTTTTCTTGAGAAATAATGAGATTTTGTTAATGCTGAAGCCCAGAGAAAACATAATCTAAATTAATGGAATAAAGTTGCATAAATCGATATAATTTTGTTCACCCATCTCAACATTATCCACAACACGCATTGCTTAATTTTTTCAAGTTATCAACGATAAATCAAATCTTATTTTTCTTCAGGAAGTATGAGATTATGTTAATAATGAATGCAAGGGAAAACATAATCAAAATTAATGGAATACGATTGCATAAATCGGTATAATTGACTTCATTTTACATCAACATCTCTTATTTTTGTTCACCCATCTTAAGATTATCCACAACACGTATTTCTTAACATTTTCTTGAGAAATAATGAGATTTTGTTAATGCTGAAGCCCAGAGAAAACATAATCCAAATTAATGGAATAAAGTTGCATAAATCGATATAATTTTGTTCACCCATCTCAACATTATTCACAACACGCATTGCTTATTTTTTTCAAGTTATCAACGATAAATCAAATCTTATTTTTTCTTGAGGAAGAATGAAATTATGTTAATGATGAAGACAAGAGTAAACATAATTTAAATGAATCGAAATCATTTTAATTTTGTTCACCCATCTTAAAATTATCCACAATCCGTGTTGGTTAACTTTTTTAAGTTGCCAACGACAATGCAAATCTTTTTTTCTTGAGAAAGAATGAGATTATGTTAACGTTGAAGGGAAGGGAAAACAGCATGTAAATATTAGTACAATGGATTGCTTAAATCGATGTAATTTACTTTTAGCTAGAAGAAAGAATTACGACAGTCTAATTGATGGGCTAATTTCGCAACTGGAGCAAATACAATGACTCAATTTTAGAATGTTAAGTCATTGTGCGATGGTAATTACAGATTTGCTGGATATTTACAATTGAATCTTTGCTAATCCACAGTGTAACAAATGTAACTTCAAGTTTAATTAAACTTTGATCTACAAGACACTTGTTCAATTTAAATATATAGTAAAGCAAATTTTAGTTTACTTTATAATAAAATTAGTAAGAAAAAACATGTAATTTTAATTAAGTTTCAAGACGAACTTAATTATAAATTTTTTTACTTGTTAATTTTGTTTAATTTATATGAATAAGTGTAAAAAACATACCTTGAGTGAAATCATGTTGGTTTTTGGGAGCCCACAGCTGCTAATGTTCAATAGATTAGATGAAGACGAGTACTGATGAGATGTGAAAAAATATTTGGTTTATATACGAGACGCGCACATTTGGCAATCCATTGTCTTTTATCTAAATAGAGTACTTACTTTTACCGGGAGATTTCCTCCCACGCTTGCTACGCGCGCATTACAAAAAAAAATAGAATCTTCTCTTTCTCTCTCCCATCTCGTTCGGTTCTTTTTGTTTTGTTCTGCTGTTTATTTATTATTTCATTTTACGTAATTCGATGAATATTCTTCGAGACCCGTTGTTTCTCCCATTCCTGTGTACTCTCTATATATATGTATATATTCTTTTGTTTTGTTCTTGTTTGTTGCTGTCGTTGTTCGTTAATTATAAATTGGCCATTCTTCTTTCGGGAATTCGGAAGATCGAAGCGCGCGAAAGAAGCGAACCGAATCGCAATTAAATATTGTGCAGAGAACAAAAAAAAAAGAAGAGTAAATCTAGGCCTAATTAATACGATTACCCACGGTCGATGTGGCAAGAGTCCGTGTCTTGCGATTTGCGTAGTTTTGTATGAAAATTATACGCTACATTTGACTTATTTACGTTGTGGAAACTAGTTATTTTATATAATTTCTTAACATAACATTTAAATGTTGTATGCATCAACGACGTAATGTGCAACATTGGTAAGAGCAACTCCACATTAATTAAGGTATTAAACAAATAAAAATAGTGTAATTGTAACGCAAATGCGTGTAATTTATTTCGCATTGTAAATGAGAATTATGTAACAATCGTAATTTCTATATTAACTATAATATTTTAACTCTTTGAGCGGCCAGAAATTCCTAAATTTCTAGACCCAACACATTTTTAGACAACTTCGTTAACTGAATCAATATTGGATGGTATGGACCAGTGGTTCTCAAACTTTTTGATCCGCAAAATCCTTTGCACTTAAAAAATTGTACACATACTCAGAAAATCGTAGAAACACATCAATTTTTTTGCGACTCACCAAGTGACCCACACCTTGAGAATCACTGGTATGGACTATCAAAATTGATTTCTTGAGATACCAACCAAATTAAATGGTAATTTCTCTTTCCTGTATATTTTCTAGAAAACTATAATAATGCCCTACTAGGCAGGTTCAAAAGGTGGTACATTGCGTGTACCAACGCCCATCAAAGAGTCAAGCATACTATTCTTTAGTAAATTTAATTTTAGTTGTTTCAGCATAATTCGCTTAAATCTCTATTTATCTCTCTATTTTGAAGGAATTACAGCCAAACTGGATAAAACCACAGAAATAATTCAATACTCGCTATATTCCTCAAATATCCAACTTTTACACCAGAAGTTCCCAAACTTTTTTTATGTCGTAGAACCCTTGCCATGTTTTTCTGTTTTGGGTAGACTTCTTACCTGAAATTGATTTTTTTGTAAGTTTCTAACTGTAGTGAAGTTTAGTTTTAAAAACTTAAAGTAAAAACACATGTTAAGTTTTATACATTTATTAATTGAATTTAAATTAAAACCACTCAAAATAAAATTTGGTATCTGTTATATAAAATATACGTAACATAAAATAAACTAAGCAATAAGTAAATGTTTTTAGTGAGAAGGATGAACCTGATGCTTTAATAATAAATTGTCAACATTTGGCGTCAATTATGTCAGGTTTAATCTAAAATCTTCTGGGCTAATGATGTCCAGTCTGTTTCATTTTTTCGTTAAGAGATTGGTAACAGCGCTGACTAGGTATGACGATGGAAAGGAAATCAAAAATTTCCTCGCTATATTCCATAATTCGCTACATTCCAGGTTCAAAATATATTCCGACCACAAAGAGAATGCATACATCCTACAACTTACACAATTTTATAAACATATATAATAATTTATTTACATCATAGGTTACATTTATACATAATGTATATGTCTTTATATTATAAGATAGTATAATATAAGTAAATAGGTACTATCAGTGTATGTTGAGATAAATTATCGTGGACCCCCATTTTCATTTCATGGACCCCAATTTATGTTTTCGCTGACGTAGACCCCTTTGCTGGCTGTCATAGACCCCTGGGGGTCGATATAGACCACTTTGGGAACCACTGTTTTATATGCATCTTTTAAATCAATTTATTTTTATTATAGTCTCTGAGAAAATTATTAAAATGGGAAATTGTCAACATTTGGCCAATAGCCAATAGCCAATAGCCAATAG